GCCAATTATTGTATTGGTCTGGCTACCAACAAAATGCCTTATCCCCCCCTTCGCGCCACACTTGGCGTAGTCGGCAGGGTATTTTCTGACATTTTTTGGGCTGTGAGACGTGGATTTTTGTGTTCGTACAGTGTTTTTGTCTGTGTTTTAGAAGTAAAACAGCAGTATTCAAGCGTGGTTGCTGAACCCAATAGGTAAGGGTCTTTATATATATTTTTTTCTCCATCTTTAAAGTTTATCTTTCTCTCATCATGGAAGATGAACTACAAGAGTTGCGAGATCTAGTAGCTCAGCTGAAAGCTGATAATTTACGATTGCAGCAGGAACAGCCCCAAGCTAGCTCCCCAGGCCCTAGTGTTGATCCCTCCAATGTGTCTGTTCCCTCAGCGCCCCCATTTGAACTTGGTAATGCTGATGCTGCATCAGCAGAGCGATTTGTTTTTGTCCCAAGAGATAGAAAATGTGCCAAATTTAATGGTAAGTCAGGGATTGGCATAAATGAGTGGGTAGAGGAAATCCAGGCTTGTATGCGGGCTCGCCACCTATCTGTGGCTGATCAGTCTTTCTTTATATTTGATCATTTGGAGGGTGAAGCCCGGGAAGAAATACGCTATCGGTCGGCTCAGGTACGTGAAGATCCAAAACAAATTATCGCTGCTTTAAAAGAATTGTATGGTTGTTCTCAATCTTATATTGTGTTACAGGAGGCTTTCTTCTCCAGAAGACAACAGGAGGGTGAGTCCCTGTTGGAGTTTTCACTGGCCCTCTTGAGTCTTCTGGAGAAGGTGAAACAGCAGTCACCACACGTAATGACAAATGCTGAAGTTCTTTTGCGAGACCAATTTGTTGAACATGTGCTTGATAGTTAATGCAGCTTGTGCGTCGCCTACCCTCTAGTACTCTGCTCGATGTGTGTAAAGAGGCTATCAGGTGGGAGAGGGAGGGTATGCCTGGGGGTGTTAGGGGCCGCAGTCATTCTGTTCCATTAGCCTATGGGTTCCAATATGGAGTTAGGGGTGGTACTCATTCACCTGGCAATGCCCAACAGACTGAAATAAGTGATTTGAGGGAGATTTTAAAATCGCAGCAAGAGCAGCTGAACCAGCTTACTAGGAGTTTCGCTCTGCTGCATGAACCCCCTCGTGGTCCTCGGTTGGGTCGTAATGATTCTGTAATATGTAGGAGATGTCAAAAACGTGGTCACTTTGCAAGGGAGTGTGAGGGGGAGCGTGTTCCTTCGCGCCCTCCTCCACCAGACCGAACGGACACCAGAGTTCCAGAGAATAGGCAGTTAAACCCACGTCAGGTGTCGGAAAACTTGCTCCCGCCGTGTTGTTGAGTCGCAGCACAGGTGGGGGAGATGTAGACTCGGTGTTGTGTAGGGATGGTTCTATACCAAACTTAATGCTGTCTTGTCCCCATTTGGTGGTAGTTATGGGTGGGGTGTCTGTGCCGTGCCTGGTGGACACTGGCTCAATGGTGTCTACCATCACGGAAACTTGTTTCCGTGAATGTTTTGAGCCATGGGACCAGGAATGGCTTAAATCCTGTCAGTGGTTGCAGCTTAGGGCTGCTAATAGGTTGTCTATTCCTTATATAGGGTACATCGAACTAGATGTAGAACTGTGTGGTGAGGCAGTTCCAAAATGTGGTGTGTTGGTTGTCCGGGATCCTCCTGGTGGCATCAGTGCCCAAGCCCCTGGTGTGGTGGGTATGAACATTTTGGGCCGGTGCTACCAGGAGCTCTTTGGACAATATGGATCTTCTCTTTTTGATTCTCCCCCAGTGTCAAGTGCTTCAAGGAAGGTGTTCCAGGCTTTACAACACTGTCATCAGGCAAGATTACAGATGCCGACAGAGGGGATAGGAAAGGTACGGGTGCGTGGGCCTCAAGTAAGTCGTGTTCCAGGGGGTACGATTAAGATGGTAGTGGCTACTTGTTCTGAGAAATTTTCTAGCGGTGTGGCCCTGTTTGAGCCGTTGGAGACTGGACTTCCAGAAGGGCTACTAGCTTCTCCTGCCCTGGTTCAAGTTATCAGAGGTACTGTACATGTCCCTATTGTAAATGTTGAGACCTCCGATGGCTTGTTATTCCCTCGCAGGGTGATTGGTACATTAACTAGTGTGTACATTGTTTCTCCCTCCCCAGGAGTCATTGAAACTAGGTCTCTAGCGGGGACTGGGCCCTTAACTGGCACCACGTGTGCCATTAGTGCCAAAGCAGATTCTCCTCGGGTGCCCGAAGGGATAGATGCGGTTGATTTATCATTTCTCTCCAGGGAAGAGCAGGATAAGGTGAGGGCTTTGCTGGGGAAGTATCAGACTGTCTTTGCTGTATGCGAAAGTGATTTAGGGTGCACTGACATGATCTCACATGATATCCCGCTACTAGATGACATCCCTGTCCGGCAGCGGTACAGACGCATACCTCCCACTGAATATGATGTGGTGCGAACTCGTATAAACCAATTGCTAGAGACACAGGTGATTCGTGAGAGTTGCAGTCCCTATGCCTCTCCTATAGTTCTGGTGAAGAAAAAGGATGGCAGTCTACGCCTGTGTGTAGACTACCGTCAATTAAATGCCAAAACGAGGAAGGATGCGTTTCTCCTGCCCCGTATTGAGGAGTCATTGGATCTCCTGTCGGGGGCCCGCTGGTTTTCCACAATGCATTTAGCCAGTGGATACAACCAAGTCCCGGTCACCGAAGAGGACAGGTATAAGACTGCTTTTTGCACTCCATTTGGGTTATTTGAATGGAATCGTATGCCCTTTGGACTGTGCAATGCTCCTAGTACGTTCCAGCGGCTAATGCAGCGTTTGTTCGGGGATCAATGTCAGTCCTTATTGCTATATTTAGATGACATAATTGTGTTCTCTTCCTCTGTAGAGCAGCATCTAGAGCGGTTGGAGGTTGTTCTAGGTCGTCTAAAAAGGGAGGGGCTGAAGGCTAGACTGGACAAGTGTGCGTTTTTGAGGCCAGAGGTTGGTTATCTAGGCCATGTCATCTCAGCAAAGGGTGTCTCCACCGACCCGAACAAGACCCAGGCAGTTGCTCAGTGGCCTCGTCCGTCTAGTGCCACTGGCCTGCGTTCTTTTCTCGGCTTTGCCAGTTATTATCGTCGGTTCGTAGAGGGGTTTGCAAAGATTGCAGCCCCCCTGCACCGACTGACAGCTGAGTTTTCTGATAAGCGCAAGTCAAAACATTCTGGGGCAGGGTTTGGGGATGCCTGGAGTGATCAGTGTGAGAATAGTTTTGCTGAGTTAAAGGTACGACTCACCACTGCCCCTGTACTCGCATATGCAGATTTTTCAAAGCCATTTATTCTGGAGGTGGATGCCAGCCAGGGGGCTTGGGGGCAGACCTCTCTCAAGAGCAGGAGGGGGGAGTTCGCCCTATTGCGTATGCGAGTCGTAGTCTGAGGCCCACGGAGCGCAATATGTCTAACTACAGTTCTATGAAGTTGGAGTTTGTTGCGCTCAAGTGGGCCATGACGGAGAAGTTTAGGGAGTATTTGTTGGGCAGTCGGTGTGTCGTCTTTACGGATAACAATCCACTTAGTCACCTGTTGAGTGCGAAACTCGGGGCGGCTGAGCAGCGGTGGGCTGCACAGTTAGCTGCATTCAACTTTGAGATTCGTTATCGCTCTGAAAAAAGTAACTTGAATGCAGATGCTCTTTCTCGTCAGAATTCTTCTGAGAGTCCAGTGATGGGAGGCCTGGTACCAGGAACGGTAGTGCCCGCACCTTTAAGACAAGCCTTGGAGGGGGCGCCAATAGTTGAGGTACAACAGTCTATGATATCTACTATGCCAGGTTATTCTTTGTCAGATTTGGGATCACTCCAGGCAGTGGATCCTGTGATTGCGGAAGTACTGCCATTTTGGAGGCGGAAGATCCGCCCAGGGCGAGATGAGCGCCAACAAATGTCATCTCTAGCTTTGACATTGCTCCGTCAATGGGACCGCTTGGTGGAGAAGGATGGGGTTCTCTATCGGCGGGTGCATTGTCCGGATGGGGGGGAAGAGACCCTACAGTTAATTCTTCCAGCTGTTTTGAAGTCTGAAGTGGTCATGCAGTTACACCAGCAACATGGCCATCAGGGCATAGAACGGACAACTGAGCTTGTCCAACAATGGTGCTATTGGCCAGGTCTTTCGGCTGATGTGTCTCGCTGGTGCTTGGAGTGTGAGAGATGCCAGGCTGCTAAGGACACTAGGCCATTAGCTCAAAGTTTTATGGGACATCTTCTGGCCTCTCGTCCAAATGAAATCGTGGCAATGGATTTTACTGTATTGGAGCCGTCAAGATCAGGCATTGAGAATGTTCTTGTGGTAACTGATGTATTTAGCAAATATACCTTGGCTATCCCCACTAGAGACCAAAAGGCGGAAACTGTAGCTCAGGCCCTGGTCAACGAATGGTTCTTCAAGTTTGGCATTCCAAGCCGCTTGCATTCGGACCAGGGCCGTAATTTTGAATCTCTGTTGATCCGGCAGCTTTGTGATCTGTACGGTGTGAAGAAGTCTCGCACAGCACCATATCATCCAGCTGGAAACGGCCAGTGTGAGCGTTTCAACCGTACATTGCACAATCTGTTACGGGCCTTGCCAGTTTCCAAGAAAAGGGACTGGGTAGCGTGTTTACCGCAGGTTGTCTTTTGCTATAACACAACCCCGTATCAAGCGACTGGGGAGTCACCCTACTTTTTGATGTTTGGGCAGAAACCACAGCTACCAGTGGATTTCATGTTGGGGAGAGTCCAGGAACCCGTGGCAGGCAGTGTTCATAACTGGGTCGAGGAGCATCAGAGCCGTTTAAGTGTAGCTTTTCAGGGGGCACGTGAACGGTTACAAGCGGCTGCTGATAGGCGGAAATTAACCCATGACAGGCAAGTTCGTGATGCCCCACTCATAGAGGGCCAGCTGGTATTCCTTCGTCACTGTAGTTATAAAGGTCGCCATAAGATCCAGGACATGTGGAGTCCGGTAGTTTATCAAGTGGTGCGAGCCCCAAGAGATGGTGGTGCAGTGTATACTATTGCACCAGTGGAGGACCTGAGTAAGGCGATTACGGTTCATCGGTCATTGCTTAAAAATCGAATACAGAAAGACTTTTCTGGTGTGTCAACTGATGCAGTTGTGGAACTACCACTGTCGCCTGGGGATGTTGAAGAGGAAGAGCTTGATTTGGTTAGGGTGGTGCAGGCACAAGGTGCAGAGAGATTAAGTGTTGACCAGGGATCCTCGGCTACCTTGACACGAGGTACTCCTAACCTTTCTGGGGAGTCCTCACATTTGGTTGCAGTGGGGGCCGAAGGTAGTGAGCTGTGCCTTGAAACTGGACTGGGTTCTTCAATAGAGCCGGGAAAAGTGTCCGAGGTGATGCCACGCCGGACTGGTAGAACCACTACTGGTTGCCATTCCAATCTTCACCGCCTTCCTCGCCCGGCAGGAGCTTCCCTGCCGTCTAATTCAGTGTCCAACTGCATTACTGCTATCTTTAGGCCCTGGAAGTGACTTCGGCATGTTTCCTCTTTTTCTGGTGTAATCACCGGGTCGGTGATTCAAAAGTGGGGGGTAGATTGTAGCAGATGTTTTGCATGAAGCCTTGGTGTACGCCCATTACTAACTGCGGGTTGTTAAGAGGTGTATAAAAGCCTGTCGGAGAATAGTGGAAGTTGCGTCATCGTCCAGCTGACTCCCTGTGGTGGGTGTGTCACTGCCGTGCGTTTGGTATGTAGTGGCTGTTTAAGCCTTATTTTTGCTTTCGTTTTAAATTGTGTTGGGTTTGATTCAGTTTTTCTTGCTCTGGAAGGCTGGTGTCTGTTCGGTTGCTGTTGCACCATAGAGTGGCTACGGTGGGGCGTTGTGAGCTTTGAGAAGTCGTGTTTCCTAGAGCTGAACTCTCCCTCGTGATTCTGTTGACACTTATGCACGTTCCCGTGACTGCTGTCTTCCCAATCGGTAAGTAGGGCGCTACCGCTCGTACATTCTGTGCATATCAAACTACTAGGAGTAGAAACTGATTTCTGTTATATTTTCTAGTTAGTTATTAGTACGGACGCCTGGCTTTGCCGGAGGGATGACTGGCATCTCGTGTAGCGATTGCACTGTGGATTGAGCGTCTTCACCTGCCCTTGACACCTGCTGGATGCTGCTGTTTTGTTTCTGTTAATTCAGTTTTGATTCTGTTTTGTTTCTTTTGTTTCTGTTAATTGTTTTTTTTTTTTTTTGCTTTTTTTTGTCGTTTATTTATTTTAGGTGCTTTTGTATCAGTGTTTTTTTGTTGTTTTGCATATGTTTTAATGTTTGTTTTTTTCTACATTTACAAAAATGGGAACACCTAAAACAAGTGTTGTCTAACTGACTGCTTGGCTTTGCTTTTATACCTGCATTCTGGTGCGTTGTCCTGTTCCAATATTGTGACCTTGTGCTCTAACTTTTACTACATACTATTTGGGATTCTTTTTAGCGGGGGCCTTTCACCTCCGTGCCCCTGGGCGGCTGGTAGCTGCTCAAGTAGTCTGTTTTTGATACCCCTGTGAGCCCATTTAATATTGTGTTTCCTTAAATGTTTTATTTCCTTCCTAATTTTGGTTTTCTTCTCTCCCTAGGAGCTGGGGGTGTCTAGTACGGGCAGTCAGGCTGCTGTGTGGCGTGGCTCTTTTGATGAATTAGTCTTTTGCTCACTTGTGTGCATTGAAGTTCACTGTGTGGTGTTTTTGGAATCTAAGAGTGTGCACGTGTGAATTTGTGGGTCATTCTCGGGCCCAGTGCCTAGCCTGCCCAACTTTAGTAAGCCCCAGCTCCTGCGGTTGGATGAGGATTTGTTTTTTTTTTTGTATTTTGTAACCGCCTTCTAGTGCCTTTTTAAAGCACATGTGCCTGTCATTTTAATATTTGTAGTCCAATGAGAAGTGCATTGTAATAAAAGGAACTCTATTTTTCTACATCCACGTCTCATTCCCTTATTGTCAGAGATACGAACCTGTGTTTTGTGTCCCAGGTAATGTACTGGGTGGCGTAGTGGAGCTCTAATTGCAATAGGTTGTGTTAATTCGGCCGCAGTGTGTCAGTTATTGTATTGGTCTGGCTACCAACAAAAAGCCTTATCCCCCCCTTCGCGCCACAATAGCATTACCCGCAACCACGTGAGCATGCAGAGGACACATGCTAATATGAACAGACACATGTAATAAAACGTTTAACAGGGAACATGCTTTAAAAAACGACCTTAAATTTGACAGAAAAGACAAATGCAAGCCTATATGATAACATACACAATGAACTGACCGAGAAAATAGCGCTAACCGACAGATTAGTCTTAATATTTTGCTAATATGACTCGACACATCGTGTAATAACACATATTTTACAGGGAATATGTTTTAAGTGATGTTTGTAAACAAATTTAGGGAGGAGCATGCGCAGAAGTTTCAGTATCGAATACGTCATTGACAATTATCCCATCATCAAATCAGTTTCTGAGCAACGCCTATATATACCAAAGCTGTCTTACCTGCAGCATCTCACGACTTTAGCATTGGCACATCCAATCGCTGTAGCCTCGTCCAAACAGCAAATTTCCATGAGGATGACACGGCTCCTCTTGCAAACTCCAAGCTGACGTCCAGCGCATCAGCACTCGGCAGAGCATATCAACAGAGTCAGCAGTCTTAACTTAGGCCCGCCATGCCGCCGCTCTTTCAGACGCCGGCAACAAACCTGAGCCGCTCCCCAGTTGGAAACCACCGGCCCAGATCAAGCGAGTCAGGCCACCGTTCTACAGGCGAAGCGCCACCATCGGCCAATTCGCCATGACAGCGTGAGCACGTCTCCGCTACGGTCTCATCTACCCCCCATGCACGGAACATTTCCACTTAGTAGCGCCCGCAATCCCTGCTCTCGGCGCGCCAAATTTAGGAATAACAAGCCAGTCCGCTCGTGAGTGTGACGTCACGCGAAGCGGCTTCCGGGTCCAAGCGCTCTATTCAACTGCATGGGGAAACCCATGAAATGGTAATTATAACGTTTACAAAGCGATTTATTACTTTTGAAAATCATGATCACAATATATATGTCTATGCCTCATACAAGTGGTTAATTTTATAAATTGTTAAAAATGTTTGGTATTTGTTATGCAGCAAGCCCAAAAATGGTTGTGTACAACATGACTCTGTATAAAACTAACTTACCGTGTAATATGTTTAAAATTGATCATAAACAAATAATTTCTCAACTTACTGCATGGGGAGACTCATGAAATGTTAATTATAATGTTTACAAAGCAATTTATTACTTTCGAAATCACTATCACAATGGGGTATATGCCGAAGCATGCTAATAGGACTCTTAATTTGCCAGTAACCTGGGCTAAGCACTTCCGGCGAATTGAATGCCAATGCAAAGCCAGTGCGTTTAAGGTCTATTTTCTTTAAAAATGAGCGCTCTCCACTAGCTGAGTGATATCGCCATATCTTTATAATATGAGCATTTATTTTTCCCCAGTATGTTTAATAGAGCTTATGCGTTAGCCTGCCGATTCTGACGACCGCGTGCGAGTAAACAGCTTCTGTCTCATTTTACGCTTGAGCAACCAAATAAATGCTAAAGTTTATTTAACTGAATGTATTTTAATGGCATTACAACATCGATGCTGTATAAGGAACCGTACAAACGGAAAAAGTTCACAATAACAGGTCACTGGAAGTGTATCAGCATGGGAACAGCAGTAGCTCAGCATATACCCTATACATACGTCCACACCTTATATCTGACGGGCAGAAAGTGATTAATTTTTATAAATTGCTTATTGTGTTTTGGTAATTGTTATGCAGCAAGCAATGCTTGTGTACACTGATTTTGTATAAAATTAACTTTATTGTATAAAATTAACTTTATTGTGTGATAAGAATTTAAAGTGATCATAAACGAATAAATTTCTCAACTCAAATGAGTGGCGGCTTGGACCCGGAAACAGTATTACTTACGTCACCAACAGGTCACCACTTAACAAGCGGAGTCTTCCTTCATGCCGCTTGCAGATTAACCAGGTTTGTTCAGGCCCTGATGCAAGTTCCAGCGTGAGGCTGCCTCCGCTGATGTCACCAACGCCGGCAGCCCCTTCTCTCTTCTCTTTTCCTTCCACCCGTGATCCTAGGGTCATCAGTAGCGCGAGCATGCCTCCGCAAACGGCCCTAGTCCCCAACTTTCTGTCAGGCCCCGACGTAAGTTCCAGCGTGAGGTCGCCTCCGCTGATGTCACTAGCGCTGGTAGCTCTCCTCTCTTCTCTTTTCCTTCCACCCGTGATCCTAGGGTCATCAGTAGCGCGAGCATGCCTCCGCAAACGGCCCTAGTCCCCAACTTTCTGTCAGGCCCCGACGTAAGTGCCAGCGCAAGGCCGCCTCCGCTGACGTCACTTACGCCGGCAGCCCCTCTTCTCTTTTCCTCCCACCTGTGATTCTAGGGTCATCAGTTGCGTGAGCACGCCTCCGCAAATGGCTCTAATCCCCAACTTTCTGTCGGGCCCCGACGTAAGTGCCAGCGTGAGGCTGCCTCCGATGACGTCGCTTACGCCGGCAGTCCCTCTTCTCTTTCCCTCCCACCTGTGATTCTAGGGTCATCAGTAGCGTGAGCACCCCTCCGCGAATGGCTCTAGTCCCTAATTTTCTGTCAGACCCCGACGTAAGTGCCAGCGTGAGGCTGCCTCTGCTGACGTCACTTACGCCGGCAGCCCCTCTTCTCTTTTCCTCCCACCTGTGATTCTAGGGTCATCAGTAGCGTGAGCACGCCTCCGCAAACGGCTCTAATCCCCAACTTTCTGTCGGGCCCCGACGTAAGTGCCAGCGTGAGGCTGCCTCCGCTGACGTCACTTACGCCGGTAGTCCCTCTTCTCTTTCCCTCCCACCTGTGATTCTAGGGTCATCAGTAGCGTGAGCACGCCTCCGCAAACGGCTCTAATCCCCAACTTTCTGTCAGACCCCGACGTAAGTGCCAGCGCGAGGCCGCCTCCGCTGACGTCACTTACGCCGGCAGCCCCTCTTCTCTTTTCCTCCCACCTGTGATTCTAGGGTCATCAGTTGCGTGAGCACGCCTCCGCTAATGGCTCTAATCCCCAACTTTCTGTCGGGCCCCGACGTAAGTGCCAGCGTGAGGCTGCCTCCGATGACGTCGCTTACGCCGGCAGTCCCTCTTCTCTTTCCCTCCCACCTGTGATTCTAGGGTCATCAGTAGCGTGAGCACCCCTCCGCGAATGGCTCTAGTCCCTAATTTTCTGTCAGACCCCGACGTAAGTGCCAGCGTGAGGCTGCCTCTGCTGACGTCACTTACGCCGGCAGCCCCTCTTCTCTTTTCCTCCCACCTGTGATTCTAGGGTCATCAGTAGCGTGAGCACGCCTCCGCAAACGGCTCTAATCCCCAACTTTCTGTCGGGCCCCGACGTAAGTGCCAGCGTGAGGCTGCCTCCGCTGACGTCACTTACGCCGGTAGTCCCTCTTCTCTTTCCCTCCCACCTGTGATTCTAGGGTCATCAGTAGCGTGAGCACGCCTCCGCAAACGGCTCTAATCCCCAACTTTCTGTCAGACCCCGACGTAAGTGCCAGCGTGAGGCTGCCTCCGCTGACGTCACTAACGCCGGCAGCCCCTCTTCTCTTTTTCTCTCACCTGTGATCCTGGGCCACGTATAGACTATATTCCTTAGATTCATCGTCTAGGTACTTAACATGTATAAACTTAAGTACGTTATTAACATTTACATAGACAACACGCGTCTATAAAATAAATTGCTTAATTAAATAAATTTGATAAGTAATTATGAAGTAATAATAACACCAAGCTGATAAGCAACTTCAGCTCAGAAATCATCCAGAATCCAATGACTAGCTTACCCCATCTATTTTCACAGCGATTCAAGTCGCAATTGCACTCAGTATAAACCATGGAACGCCATTCAAAACTTCGGGTACTGCTCAATGCTCCTCGCACTACCTTAAGTTCCTTTAATCCTATCAATTAAGTTTTCCACAGAAATTAAACCGAGAAGTCAGTGGAAATGTGCTATCGTTGCCCCCTTTTTACCATTTCAATCCCTAAACCTTTCCTAACCCTGGTCATTAATCCGTTCAAGGAGTTCTATTATAAGGTTGCTGCTGCACAGCGACCGCTCTCATTGGGGA